CGATTTGGTAGGAAGGATTGAGGATCGCGTTTAAGTAGGGCCTTTGTAGGGTTCTCCCATCATCGTCAGGGCATTCGGAACTCATGTTCCACGGCCCTCTGGAATAGGGTAGTCAGCCCCTCCATGTAGTATTTTCCCTTTCATTCAACTGGGTGGGTCAGTGAAACCGTCATTCCCCAGTGTTTCGAAGAGAAACTTGATTCATAGTCCATGCAAGACATGAGGGCGGAGAATCCAGGCCTGTAAAGCTTGCCATTGGCCCACTTCCTTGACGAGCAAGAGTCCACCAATGGCGAGGAAGCAATGGCGTTATGTGACTGTGTGGTCAAGATGGGCACTGATCTTTATATAAATGTAGGACTAAAATTACTGGTAATCCTATTCGAGTAGGAAAGTATCGCGCAACGACTTCAATTATTAGTTTTCATCAATCTCCCCATACTCAACGTCATGAAGTTAATGCGTCGATTAATTCCATTTATATGGCCCAATTTATGAGATCGAAATGCGTTCCAATCGCATAAACCTGATTACTACATAACTATATGCAAGTTATTATCGGAATGGCTCATTTATTGGGGTAATGCGATTAGGGGCGAGCGAGAAAATGAAAACACAGCGAATTACCATATAGCAGTAATAGTAAGTTCATCGACCAGCAAGGGGAGTCTACTGGATTATAAACCCTTCAAAGCGTCCCTGATCCTTCCCTTGTGATACTTTTATTGTACTTAGAGGCACATTCTACTATGAAAAAGGTTCCTATGACTTTCCTTTGGGTGAAACCTATGACCCTCAGGAATAGCCAAAGGGTGTAATAGGGGTCCCAAAACCGGCGTGACCGACGCACACACCCACAGGGGGACGAGTTCCCATGTTGTTGTGTAGGCTGTAGAGATCGACCACAAAATTACTGTGAACTGTGACTTCAAAATCCGTGCTTTATACCGCTGATGTTAAAATACAGTGGAGGGAATTTGCAACCTTCAAAATCAAGTTATTACAACAAAGTTTGAAGAATTAATGACTCAATTAGGCAACCCATGGCTAGTATTTTCCGAAAGTGACGGAGTGAGGGGATTCCTGGTGTTTGGGAATCTGTGAAAAGTAACATCTTCGGAAATCACCTCAGAACTCTCACTTTACCAGTTACTGCAGGAGATTAGAGTGTTTACAGACTTATCAAAGCCTTTCACTTGGTGGATGTTTTCCGAACTTTTGCTACACTTTCAACCACACACATCAATGATCTGCTGTTTTGTTGACCATTCAAATGACCTTCGAAACCCCAACCCTCAATTATTCTCAGGAACTTTGTAGCGATTTCTTGATTATATCACTTATTATCATTGATTTTTTAAAAGTTCTCTCAATTGTAGAATAAACCGTAACCGAAACTTACAACAACTTATTGTTAGACGAATTTTCAAGTTATCTAGTGTTTGCTTATACTTTGATCGAATTAAATCGAGTTGAAAAAACGGATTGAAGCGAAATTAATGTTTACTTAATTTCAAATAAGCAGTAATACTATACTATATTTTCTCTTATTTCATTTCATATTATTCAAGCGCCCGACTGGTTACTGTTTACAAAATGCGTCTCGCATTCGAGTTTTGATCTTGGTTACTGTTTACAAAATGCGTCACGCATTCGAGTTTTGATCTTGAACCTTTACATCCGTCCCAAATTGAAACCGAAACATCAAAAAAAATGTAAAGAGATTAATGTGTAAAGTCCACTCTGAGAAAAAGCCTTGAGAATCTTCATCTTCCTCTTTCTTTCCTTTTTTTCATCTCTCTTTCTCTCTGAAGCTAATTGAAGCTGCAGACGGTCGATGAGC